GCACTAGCGGGTCCCACGTCCGATATAACGTTTTTAATTTCTCAAAAACTAACCGATACTAGAAAAATTATCTAAAAACTATATTTACTCATAAAAATTATTCGAAAAATTTTCCTAATAAAGAAAATGCAGAAAAACATGCCATTAAATAGAATAAAACCTAAAAAATGAGAAAATGAGAAATTTACGGGTTCTCACAGAACTGACCAGTGAATTCAATGCAATAAAATCAATGAATGAGTGACAATGAATACTGAAGGAGTTTTGACTGTTAAATGTTTCCAAATGATGGAGGAATAAGGGAAATGATTGGCGACTGAATGACTGAATGAATGCCTTCAAGTGAGCACGTATCCTTCCAATGAATGAATGTTTATTTCATGAATGACTGTTTATTGTTGTGCAAAGTGTTCAAACTGTTAAATACCATACTTCCATGGTTTATCTACCTGATTGCTTGTTTAGGAACCTCACTTGGCTTTTAACTCATTCCTTTAGTTTTTGTTTTCCTTACAGGAATGGAGGTCCAGAACAATTGAATGTGAACTAGAGTGTGTAACCCTCTTGTACTCTTGGTTGATAGGTTGTTTTTGATATTTGACGTTGTATCATACATTTGGTTTTTGGGTTGTAAATAAGTTTGCATTTTGGTTGAATTGCAGAACTTAAATGTTATTTTAGAGGCTTGAATGATTAATCTTGAGAGTTGATTGAGTGAGTGAGTGAGTCCTAGCGAGAGTTGGGCAGGCGGTCCGTCAAATTCTTGGTACGCCCTAGGGGAAGTGGGGTCATCACAATATAAATACAAAAGGAGGAGTAGATGAAGGCAGATTTCTCGTGTGCTCTAATCTTTGTCGCGAGAAAGAGAGAGAAAAAAGACCAACAAATAAAGGAGTGACAATGGCTATAAACCCACAAAAAATGTTAACCCACAAAATAAAAACCCTAGATCTGGCCATTGAAGATCAAAAGGTAGTTGTGTAAGACTATCACGAAAGCTATTGTTGTGTAAGTATTTTGACATCAACTTTAGAATCTGGGATGCACTTGAGCAGTTTGAATAGAAATAGAGGTAGTTGTGTAAGACTATCACGAAAGCTATTGTTGTGTCCTGTAAGTATTTTGACATCAACTTTAGAATCTGGGATGCACTTGAGCAGTTTGAATAGAAATAGTACTATCGAGCGTTGGAAATCTTATAAATTGAGTGATTATGACCCTTAAGCATTGATTAATTTAAAATTTTTCTAATTTGGGATAACCTGTATTATCATGTTTAAGCACAGAGTTTTTATTGGCTAGGATTCAACTTATGTGTTAAGATTAGGGTAAAAAAAATGCATACACGAGTTCTAAAATCATTGGGATTACAGCTAAATATGGTTAAAATATGGTTATGTCAGTTTGAAAAATGTTGAGAGACAGCCCCACGTTCCTCTAGGGCGTACCCAAGAGTTAGCGAATTTCCTGCCCATCTGCTTACCAGGACTACGGAGTCAAATTATACATAAACCCTACAAAAATGAACCCTACAAAATGCGATAGAACTGCGAGAAACGAACGATCGGAGATTTAATGTACTAAGCCGAACACATGATTATCAAGTCAAACGAAACAATGGAACTTCGATTAAACACTCCGACGGAAAATCACAAGGACAGCTGCCATGTCACAATCCGGCCGGATTCATGGCAGTAGCCTTTCCAAATTTTTTTTCAAATTGCCCTGCCAATCCGGCCAAGTATCCGGCTAAGATTTGGCCGGATATATGGCTGGATTCCTTGAAGAATTTTCCCGCCAAAACTTTTTTTTTTGTTCAAGCTTCGCTCATGCCCGATTTCCCAACGGGTTCCGGAAAAGTTCACCAAAGCCAAAGGAAAGTACAAACTCAAACAAATACATCAGATACATGACAAAACACACTTATATATACATTGAAGTCTTCAACAAATTACTTGAAGTACAAGCCATAATATCTACACTTATACAAAATACAGTTAGGGTTTCGGTTACAGAGGAGCGTGAACAAAA